TCTCGATTCTTATTGTCCCAGCACCCATTTTAAAACCTTTGACGGCCTGCAATAGTGCTCCACTTGCAAGTGGATGTCTACACACATGTATCCTACATAATATCCCTTTCAACCATACACATTAGTTCACCATACGAAGAGACATCTTCTTACAAGAATCCTGTAAGTCTTTGTGGCGCTATAGGACAAAATACCCCATAAATAACAGGTTTAAAGGCGAAACCCATCAAATACACAAGCCGGAACTCCTCGGTTAGGCCGCCTGGTCATGTGAATCTTTTGGCATTCCATTTCCGTCGCCTGCGCTGGTCGCGGTTGTAACAAAAAGGGCCCTAGCCGGAAGGAAACTCCGGAACGAAGAAGGAGAAGAAGAGCCAGATCCGAAACCGGAGAGTAGACGGCACCGGCATCTTCGGGGAAAGCTGAAACCAGACCTTCCCGTCGGCCATGAGAACAACCCACAAAAGTTACCACTCGTGGCCACTTTGACGTGGCTATGATCTACAAGGATTAGCGAAAGCACAAGTGGGTTTGAACGTGGACCCTAAGAACGAGGCTATCTGAGTCGTTCCTCGGACTGCGCTTGGAAAGTCTGTCGAAGAGCTTCCCATTTTAAGCCAAACTCTTAATGCTCAAGAGACGATAACCCGTGACTGTCCTAAAACGCCTAAAATTAGGACTCGGAGACTTGCGGCAGCGATGAATGGTTCTTGTTAGCCGAGCAAAGTATTCTTCGTCACATGCAAAGATACTTCTCTCAGTGGGACGGATGCAGCCTGAGTCACCTGTGGGTGGGGTTTGCACACAGCCGGTGCAATGATTCCCATGACAGAGTTGAAACGTTGCGGCTACAGTAGGGACGTATCGTTATAGTTCCAGCGCAGTCCTTGAGCAATCATGGTCATCATGTTCAGCATAGTTAGTTTTATGTTGAATTGCGCAACCTCGCCTTGTTGTCTTGTGTGGCTCACAAATGTTAATGTTAACTTTAAACTTGTTAGCTTCATATGAAAGTTATTACTGCCTCTCCTTGTTATTGATTCCAAGTAAAGGGTGTGTAGGCGGTAAGCTGAATGTTCAAAGGATGATAGCATGTAAATAATTGGTCGCAGAGTTCATCGTAACCCATTTCACCTTATATGAGGTCAAAGTTGATGTATGGCTGGACATTCTTTGGAGTATGTGATGATGGTTGATTTTCATCCAAAGATACAGTTTTGCAATTCACGTATCTTGCAATATAATATAGATTCTTCTCTTTTAATATTCAACCTAAGGAGAGCAAATTTAATCCAATTCGATATGATGCGAAGCCCCATACGGTCCCAAAGTTAACTCCCATGAATCTGAGGAAGAATTCAGGAGGAGAAAAGATGTTGAGTTTGAGGTTTCTAAGCTTTCCAAAGCAATTGTATCAGTGAAATATGATACACATTGAGAGCGTGTGAATATGACTTGCAGCCAACTTGTGTTGATAAGATATGCAATAACTGGTTTAAGGGCACTAAGTTACTATGCAAACATTGTTTACATAGTCAACTTATGATATTTTTAGACTTGGATAATTATCCATCGTACGAATTGACAATTAGTGACAACATCAACATTAAAACCTCCATATAAGTAGCAGTCGGTATAGAGATATGCCGACTGCTACTTATATATATCTCTCTATATATGAGTATCGCCTCGTTGGATCTCTATGATAAATCATATATGCAGCTGTGAACCTTAACTATATGTATGACAACCAACCATGCTGGTCGACATGTACTACTTCTCTCTTTGATTATTGTATAGCTTATTGTGGAGATTATTGCTCATTGTATTAGATCTAGCATCTACATATGTGACGATAGATAGGATAACATTCACTTTGGATAAAGTATTCTTGATTTACATGCGATATGTGGACTAATTTATTTGACTAGTTTGGATTTTCTAGATGTTGTAGCATATTTTTCTTATATGTATTATTCTGATGATATTAGTTTGGCTTCACTCAACTAAGATTTGATGGTTACTATAATGTTTTTTATTACATATATATATATATATATACATATACATGACATGTGTAAGTTTTGATTTCTATATCAATTCCTCAAGTCAGAAATCCCGTGCAATATTAATCATGATTCATTAAGAATCATGACTTGGTACATTTCATTAAAAAATACTCATTTTGCTCATTATCATTGATACTAGTAATTATTTTGCAAGATCAATTGAGATGTAAATTACAGCAAATTTGACTATTTCCTGGCCCTTTCTTTTCCATGGGGATGATGTTGTGATCAATAGTATGATACACATATTTTTCAATAGTACAAGATCATTGTAGTACATACTTTGCATGAAATTGCATCTTGCTCAAGACAAATTAAAAACAATTGATCTAACGGATAAGAAAATTTTACTTAGTTTTAGCAATTACCATATGCATTCTTGGTTCTGAAATGACAAGTTTCATACTATTGGGTCTTGACATAGAAACACGATAAAATTCGATTTTTTTTAAAATCTTCAATAATATGAACTTTCTGTATGATTAACTTGAAGATAGGTCAAACTCTTAAACATAAAAGGTGTTCATGCAAAACTTGATAGATGCAACATTGAAATGAGTAAGCAACAAGAAAATTACTTCACGATATACTTGATAAAAGCAAAACACAGGCTAGTACCCAACAAGATTGGGACCTCCATTGTTGTGTAACCATTGTCACTCATGATCCAATATGAATTCTGGATTAGATACAACTCATACCAAGGAATTTGATCGTAGTCGGAGGATTGTACCTAAAACGCGAAACAGAGAATAAAACTCTGTCTAATGTAGCTTTTGAAATGTCGGCTAACTCTTCTTAGTGAGAATTCAAAACTTGAACGAGATTTGCTTGATGGGACCCCTGCGGAAAGTAATTTGCTTGATGGGATCCTTCAGGTTTCATTTTATCCAATGGGACCCCATGAACGATGCACCGTCACCCATGTTCTAATAACAACTAGAGAGAGTGCAACGAGTCCACCGCACCCGCAGACAAAGTCGACTTCGCACTCCATCACACTCACTTGTTTTTATGTTGTCGATCTATATCCGGTCACTCTCCAAGGAGACGAGCAAAGAAATGTTCATCCGGAGTTTATTTGTTCGCCACAAATGGATGATCGCGATACTTGAGCTTGGACCACGCAGGGTTACGGAAGGAGTGTGCAGGTGGGAGGCAACAGAGAAATCCGCGAATCTTTGCGATCGGAAGAATTGAAGCACAAAAAATTGCACTTCGAGCAAAATTGATCTTTGTCCCCGTGATAATCCACCAGAAATTATAATCAGGGATTGATCTCTGATTGTAATTTCCGCATTGTAACTAATAGTAATCGTAGTTACAATAACTATGTCCGACGGCACACCGTCGTTGGGGTCCCATCGGGTAAAACTAAACCTAAAGGATCCTATCAAGCAAATTACTTTCCGCAGTGTTCCCATCAAGCAAATCTCTCAAACTTGAACACAAGTCATAGAGTTCCAAAAATGCATTTTTTTGATAACAGTAGAATTGTCAAAACAAAGTCTGCAAATAAAACTACGCGCTCATAATTTTGCTAGTTACAACAAACTCCTCCAACGAGGTGAGATAAAGCGCAAGATATGAGATTTTTATTTTCCTGCTGGTTGTTTAGAATTGCATTTTATCACTACAATCACTTATAGATTATCACGGGAACACTTGAAATTCATGGTCAAAATATTCTTTATGAAAATACTTTACATAATATTTTCAGGTCTGGATTCATAAATGAATAAATAAATCTAGATTAATATATGAATCTTGTTGAATATCTACAATTTGGTTGGAACCAACAAATATTTTGAGTTTTGTTGATCCCATCAATTAATCATGGGAAGCAACGGTAAAACTTATGATATGTTTATGGGGATTACTGAAAGTAAGATTTTGTGAAGGTTGAAACTGTGTACAAATTGAAACCCACGTACGTGGCGAAAGGTTATTCAAAAGACAGATTGTGATGAATGACATAAATGAAAATGTAAATCAATTCGCATGGTTATGTGGAGATCCTCATGTTCTTCTAGATTTCGGATTGCATCGGTGTGAGTTCTTCAAATCCTAGTGCTGTTGAGAAAAGGAGTTGACTACACGGCAGGATTTAAACCCTGCCCACTGTGCGTGGTGGCCCAAATGTGACAAAAAATTATCCGAATTCAAGTCAATCCGTTGTGAAGCCACCAAATCATTGACTGGATCCCGTTGGCCAAGGACTTCATCGGTTAGTCTTTGTTTGTTACGTCGGGGGAGAAGAGCCGGTGCAAAGGTGGCATACGCATCGGAGAATGACGACGATTCGAGTACAAGAAGGCGAGGTAAGCTCTCATAAACCCTATTCACCACCGCCTAAGGGCCAAGGCTGCGCTAAAACAAGAAGAATGAGAAAGCAGACAAGAGTCCTGTCTGATGGCCGATGGTACCGACCGGCCGATATTCATACATCTCACCGGGTTTGATCCACCGGCGAGGCGAGGCGAGGCGAGACGATGTCTTCGCCGGTCTGCTCCCGGAGCGGCGGGCGCGGGCACTGTCAAGCCGAACAGTCGATGAAAAGGACACATCGACTCTTACTACTACCCATTGTTTTCTTTACCCTCTTACTTGGCGGACATGGTTCCGCTCCAACTGGCTAACAGTCGGGAGTATTGGCCACTTGTTTCGATTCACCTGGAGTGAAAGCGGTTCGAATAGATTCGGACCATTTACCCCGTGGTAAAATCCCTACCGCCCGGCGAGGATGGGAGGGGCTGGGGACGGGCCGGACGGGCTACGCTACACTTACTTCCGATGGCTTGGCATGGCCGGGTTTGCCAAGTTTGTTCGGGATCGACAGTCGCGACTCGCGCGCGGCCAACGACGAGGACGTGCCGGATCTTAGGTCGCTCTCAAGGCTCATGACCGGCGGTCAAGAGGACAGAAGCCTCAGCGCTGCCGCTGCTGCTGCTGCTGCTACAACTGATGCTGTACCCCGTCGCCCCTCTCTCTTGAGCTGAGCTCTGGTGGTGGCCTGGGTCCTGGTTCGCTCTAGTCTGCTGCTGCTCTGTTGTGTTGGTGAACTACTCTCCCTCCCTCCCTCCATCCCTCCATCTCCCTCACTCACTCGACTCTCTCCTTCCCTCCCTCTGGCCCTCCTTCCCTCCACTCTCTCACTGGCTGGCTGGCTCTGGCCGAGCTGCTTCTGCTGCTGCTGCCGGGCCTTCTGTTTCTTGTGCGTGGGTGTGTGTGGCCACTTCTCGAGTGCCCAGCAGTGATCCTCGAATTTCAACTTAGGTTTTCGAATCGAGCTCCGGAGGGAGTGACGAGTGAGGTGAGGTTCAGGACCGCGTGCGCATTCGGTGGTCGTCTTCCTCACTGGCTCCTGTCGTGCTGTGCCATTCATTTATGTTTTGTTGTAATTTTTATCGGTCCCCACGGTTGGCTGTGCGACGAGGGAAAGCTGAATTTCAGCTCGAGGTCCGTGTCCAATGGAGGAGCCCAGGGGCTGACGTTGGTAATCAGTAGGGTCGAGTGTCTGGAGGAGATTTGGTGGATGGTCCGGAGCACTGACTGCGTCCTGCAGCCGGCGGCCAGTAGATAGTGAAAATGGGGAAGCTGATGAGCCTCGCGAACGCATTCTGCGACGAGAGATGGTGAGGAGAAGTTGCCGACGCAGAACTCCGGGGAGGAATGAGGTGGTGATACAGGGAATGGAGATCTGGCCTGCATTGAGAAGATTTGAAGGCCTGTTTGGCAGGAATCTCGTCGCGTAGATTTTGCAAGGAAGGTGTAGGCGTCGGTGCAGGAGCAAGATTGGATCACTGGGCTGTGAGGGGTGTCGTGATACAATGTGCGGCCAAACGGTGGGACTTTCAATATTTTCCAGCTGTGAGTAAAGTCGGACAGCGGTAGCAGGATTGGGAAGGCAGCATTCTCCGGATGTGTGGGAAGAGTATAGGAGAATGGAAGGGCGGGGAGGACCCTCATGCTGCCCGGGGGTCCCAGCATTTTTGATCGGCGCTTCGATTGCGTCTGACGGTGGTAGGCTTTTACACAACTCTTTTGCGCTGCCGGACGAACGAGGAGAGGTGACCAAGGATAGAGAAATATTGCTTCGTAACAACAGTGATGTCGCCGTGCACATTCCGTCAGATCAGGAAGGGCCCGAGTCCGTCGAGGGCCGAGCAGACTCCCGAGATGACGATGGAAGCTCAATGCAAAAATCGAGCTGCTGCTGCAACATGCACGCTCCGGGACTGGCATACGTTGAGCGAGCCGGGCGTCGTCTCCTGCACCACATTGTGTGCGATCCTCTTCTCACCACAAGGATTACTATCATGGTACGCCCCGCAAGTCCCATCTCGCAATCCCGAAACACCATTCGCTGCATACACTTTTGGACTCATGCAGGCCTCGGATTCCCCCCCCTCCCTCCCTCCTTCCCCTCCTTCTGAACTTCACGTTCCTGCCCGGGCATATGCAGTCAGTAAGTATGTCGCAGTCGTCTGAATGCAATCGCGGTTTTCGAACATGGAATGATTCGAGGTCGCAGCATTCGCGCTACCGCCGACGACAGAGGTGTCGGCTTGTCATTCTTCCGATAAGCACTTGCGGGCAACGCACATTTTCGTAACTCGATGCACCACAAACGACGCCAGGAAATATGAATGATTCGGGCGGGGCGGGCAGAGGTAAGTGCCGCCGAAACGCGATTCCATGCAGTCGGTCAGTGAGTCAGTCAGCGAGTCAGTCATTATGAATAATGGGCGCGCGGGCGCAATCTGGGAATGGGACTCGCTAGAAACTCCTGCTGGGAAGTTTTTCTCCGGCGCACGTTGATCTGATCGAGATGGATGGTGGCTGGACCGGGGGACAAGCGGGAAATTTTTTATCTCACACACGCACACGGGGGCTGCAAGTGGTCCTGGGCTGGCAGCCCGCATCGCTCCGCGTCGGTGGGCACCTCGCAAGTGGGACATCGATCTCAGTAGGCCGTGTACTGCTACTTCTACCGCTGATGATTGTACGATCAATATTCGCGTCCAGCATGGCCTTTTTCTAATTGCATCATCTTCCTTTCGACCGAGTCGACTTTCGGGGACTTGTCGGTTCTCAAGCCGGGATTGTAGGAAAGCCGCTTTGCAGGTTTCCAAGTTGACCTGACCTGTCACGTCCAGTGGGTCGAATGGCGCAGATTACATCCGCCGGAGCAATTCGGTACGAAGTGCGATTCCGAAAGTCGATGGCGACTGCTTTGGGTTTTGCCGCTCATGCCTTTAGGGCGAGGACATGAATGGAAGTGGGGATCTTAGTCTGCTAATCACGTGGTCTTCATCCGCTCTTTGGATTGACTTTTTTGGGGGCTTCTGAACGTGGCCGGTGGGCGGGTTGCGAGGGCGAATGAGTGAACGAACGAACGAACGAACGAATGCATGGACGAGCTTGCGCAGGTTTCGCCGTCACAATGTCTTGTGACGCAGAAGTCGGTCCTCGATGTGTGTCCTGATCGTGACGAGTGCAATGTGGATCGTGGTGCAGGCCATGCTGGCGATGCTGATAACGGTGATGACTGTACTTACATGGTATTTTTCGACCACCCATGCGGAAAAGTCAGTCAGTACAGTGGCAGACGCTTTGCGGAGCGAGCTTCTAGCGAGGACGGAGGACACCACCACCGCTTTGCTACAAAATAACAACGTGTCCACGACGGCCCTCGCGAGGATTCTCAGCTCCCCTCTGATTACGAGCAACTTCTCGTCTTTTGCAACTTTGCAAGCGCAGGTGGGTTTTCCAATCCTGGATGGCTGGAGTGTGAAATTTGATCTGTCCCTCGTTGAATCTAACCTGGATGAACACCTCGATGAATGTCATCTGGTTCTTCAAAAGTGGGATCTATAAAAGGTCTCAGGAATCTCTGATGAAAGTTCGGACTAGTTGAGGAACTCTGCTTGTGCTCTGGTTGACGATGCAGAATGATAAGTGACAGTAGCGTCGCCCCACCCACCTTCCCACTATCGCCTGTCTACGTATTTTGGAGCTTAAGCTGAGTCTCATGAACACATTTGCTGCTGCAGGTTGCGCCGATCTTGTTCTCTGCCTACTCAGTCATCCCTCAAAGAAGCCTCGTCTCCTTTTTTGGCAAAAATGGGTTGTTCATTTCATACTCTGCGGAATTCAATGGCACGTCTATGGTGTTTGCTAATTCGACTATTTTGCGACCGGGAACGACCTCCACTGCTGTTGCTCCTGCACCTCCCAGGGAATCGGATGAGACTCTGGCCGCAAGCAGTCCGTGGTATCAGTGGTATCGTCAGTCGGTTGACTCCTCGACCGGCTTACCCACGGGACCAGCTACATCTATAACGCCGGTTTCATATTGGGCTGTAGATCTTTTCAATGAGACTTGGAACAATCGCAAAGGAGGGTCGTCTTGGGGCGTTCTAGCTGCTCGAACGAAGGATCTTCTGTTTCTCTCATTAGCTCCTGTCAAGCCGAGCTCTGATGGAGATGCAGTCGGAGTTGCGGGTGTTGGGTTCTCAGCGTCCGAGATCCGGACCTTCTTCGACTCGCTCAATCTCCAGGGAGGAGACATGTACATCACCACCGACGATGGTAGGCTTCTGGTGCAAACCAATGTGGCAGTTGACTATGAAATTGGCGAGGCTGGGAACCCGCTGCTTCCTCTGGCCTCCAGCTCCAATAACTCGGTGGTTGCAGGAGCTGCCAAATATCTATCCGGAGTTTTGGGTAGTAACGGAACCCAGTCGTTCCAGGCTAGCAATGTGAAAATTGATGGCACGCTTTACGTTCTCAATAGTGCCCCTGTTCAAGTCGCGCAAAGCACCCTGGTAATTGATTTATCTCTCTTCCCCTCAATCTTGCAATTAGGTGAAGATGTTGCTGGCAGTGAGTGAAATGAGCCCTGGATGCAGTTTAGAAGCAAGTTGAGACTCTCGTTTAATCGGATGCTACTTTGTGATAACGTTTTACCTGGTAGCAACGGAAGAAGAGAGAAACTGACTTCAGAAGACTGATGGATCGTCATTATCTGACACCCAATTTTCACTTACAGGTCGTTGTGGTATTAATTCCACGGGATAGTGTGTGGGGGCCAAGTGACAAGCGAAGTCATACTATCCTCGCACTGCTGCTTATTCTTGCTATTTGCGTTGGTCTCGTGGGCTGCTTTTTCATCGTACTTTTGACGAAAGGAGTAAGCAATGAGATGCGCCTACGTGCAGCTCTTATTCAGCAGTTGGAGGCCACTAAACAAGCCGAGAACAAGAGCAGTCATAAGAGCATTGTATTTGCCAGTATGAGTCATGATTTGAGGACCCCTCTTGCTGCCATTCTGGGTCTCATCGACCTTTGTTTGTGCGATGCCATGGAGATGTCAGAACTGGAATCGAACCTGTCTCAAATGAAGTCTTGTGCTACGAATCTTCTGGGTGAGTTTTGTCTCCTGCAGGCTTAGTACATGTTTTCCGTACGTGTAGGATGATTAGGACGGCTGTTCTTCTCTCCTCGGGTCCAGGTTTTCGGATTTGCGTTGGTGCTCAGTCATTTACTATGTGGACGAAATCAAATCACAGCATGTACCTTTCTGAAGGAGAGAAGTCAAGCAGCTTCATGGTGTACGGTTCTTGAGTGCCATTGTGTTTCTAAAGATCAGTGGTACACATGATAGTCAAGGGCTCTCAGAATTCTAAATCTGACTCGATATCGTCTCTACAGGAATTCTGAACTCCATTCTGGACATGAGTAAGATCGAAGCTGGGAAGCTTCAACTGGAAGAGTCAGAGTTCGATCTGTTAGATGTGCTCGAGGAAGCGGTGGAGATGTTCGCTGTTGTGGGCATGAAGAAAGGACTAGATGTCGTTCTTGATCTCCCAGATGATTCAATTGAGAAGTCATCACGTGTTTGGGGAGACGCGGGTCGGGTCAAACAGCTTCTGTCCAACTTATTGAGTAATGGTGTGAAGTTCACAAGTTCAGGGCATGTGGTATTGCGAGCGTGGCAAAAGCCCGTAATACCTGCCAGCTTGGGCGCCAGCCAGGTTCAAGGGGGAGGAGTGTTCGGATGCTTCTATGGCTGGTTTTGGAGGTGCTTCAATGAGCGGGAGAAGACGTATGCGCATATGGACGAAGAGGAGGTTTGTGCCAGTGGAAATCTTGTCGAGTACGAGTTCGAGGTTGATGATACTGGTAAAGGTATTCCCCGGGAGAGGCGAAGAGCAGTTTTTGAAAATTTTGTCCAGGTGGATTCGACCGTTCCTCGTACACATGGCGGTACCGGTCTCGGACTTGGCATCGTTCGATCACTGGTGAGCATCTCTCCATCACGGACGTCGTGTCTGAGCGCAAACGCTCTCCAATGTATCGAAACTTATGATGAGATCTACCTTTGCACTGTCGAAAATCAAATAACATGTGGTTTGTATGTTTTAGGTCCGATTGATGGGAGGTGATATTAACATTATCGACAAAGATGAACCGGGAGAACCTGGAGCCCGATTCAAGTTCAACTTGTTATTTCAGCGTCATCCGGAATCTACACCTGCTAATGGACATCCCTTTAGTCCCGCACATTTTAATGTGAAACCTCAAGATACCGTAGGTGTACCCAGTAGATTTGGATTGGCGTCTCCGGGTGTAGGATATCATAAAGATCAGATAGACTCTTCGGAGAAACCAGCAACACCGATTTCGCTGGCAAACCCTTCTTGTTATAGCCCTCCAACCCCCGAAGGGGTGCATGTGTTGCTAGCCATGCAAGGGCACGCAGGAAGGAAAGTGGCAAAGCAGTGGATGGAGCGGCGAGGTTTACATGTCTGGACCGTAAGTCATCCTGAAGACTTTTTGGATACGCTGGAGAAGATCAAGTTCGAAGTGTTCTATGAAGAAAGTTTTAGCTGGTCAGATTGCTTCGAGATCTCCCCAGGCAACCAGGCTTATGAATCATGGGTCGATGATTCCAGCCAGCCTCCGGCAGGTGAGCTGAGTGGCACTCCAAGCAGCAGTTACATGAAAAAGTACGGAGACAGAGTTGGACCACGACTCCTGATCGTAATCGATACGGCCATGGTGTCAAGCTTCTTGGATCAGTTGTGTGTCAGCCTAACCAACTCGCTGACACAAGCAGACATCGCTCAGGTGTCGAAGGTTGTTTGGTTGGTCACACCCAACACTCCCAGCTCCGTTCTTCAAACTCTGAAACAGGGCACAGTACCGTGTGACCTTATGCTGCACAAACCTTTGAATGTGTCACGCTTGCGAATTATATGGGAGCAGGTACAACTGCTCATGCACAATAGGGATCTGGATACAAAACCCTCCCCGAATTATACAGTTAGCCGGGGTGAGAGTCCACTTACTGTAAGTCAGCCTTTAGTCCCTTATCCAAGCCCGATGCACGATGGTGGATCTGAAATAGATTCTAAAGAGGGCTCCACCACAGATTTGCCCACTACACTAGGTAGAGATCATCTCGTAGGCAGAAATGTGAGGGGTGACCAATCAGCAATGCCGACTCCGAGCAGAACGACGAGTGGAGGAGTAGACGGCATTCACGCGGAGGGCCTGCTTCCCGTTCACACTTCGAGTAGCCCCAGCCCAGATGTTGGACCTTTCCCGAGGGTGCGATCCAGGGAAACGGATATAATGGGGCCTCCCAATTCACTGAAAGGCATGCATATTCTTGTGGCCGAAGATAACCCCGTCCTTCAAAGACTTACCAAAACGACTCTGGTACGGTTGGGGGCAAGCGTCGAGTGTGTGGACAACGGTCTCGAGGCAGCGCAGCTGGTTCTGGCCAATCTTCCGAGGAAAACCTCAAGTAGATCCGCATCATTTGGAAGCTTCAGGCGGTTGAGAAGTCTCTCGAGGGAGCATGTGGAAGAAGAAAATGCTCCTCCTAAAAGGAGACCTTTCGACATGGTGTTGATGGATTGTCAGGTAATTATGAGGCCGTTGACTCAGTTTCATTACTTCAGTAGATTCTGCCTCTCGTATGCGACAGACATCAGTCGGCTGTGTGAGATCAAGTATGTTAGCATCTACTCAGAGCTCAAGATGCTTTTCTGGCTGTTTAAGCCGATGTAGACTTTTCTCCGCATGCGAATCCGGTGGTACTCGGAAGTCTGATCTTCTATTTTGACTGCGCTTGTGACTGCAGATGCCGGTTCTCGATGGGTATGGAGCAACCCAACGAATCAGGGAGCAGGAGAAGTTGCTTGGGTTTCGAACGCCTGTAATTGCTCTAACTGCGCATGCAATGGCGAAGGATGAGAGCAAGTGTATTGAAGCGGGCATGGATTTTTACCTCACCAAGCCTCTGGCTACCAAAGCCTTACTGAACGTGGTCGCAAAGATCAATGCAGGCAACCGACCTAGTTAAGAAAACGCACTTCAACCCTTATTGGAGATAAATTGTTTGGGTTGTGAAATACGATACCTTGGTAGTTTTGAAATACCAGTTCAGATGTATAGGAATGTCGGACCAAGATACCCAAGACCGAGGGCAGAATCGATTCAAGGCCTTATTGGTGCTGTAAGTAATTTACCAGGTCATGACGAAGGAAAATGTAAGATGGATGGAGCTGGTGAGCAAAGGGTACCCGGGTATGTGAAACTTCGATCCACATTCATAGAAATTGGTCCCAACTAATGTGATTATTTTTTGCCTGTGTTAGTGCACACAGGTGCAGTGTAAAACAAATTTTCTCAGTCAGAGTAAAACTGTAATCACCGCCATGTTCTTGAGGAATGGCAACCGGCTTTAGGATTGATCGATATTATGATGAGTAGGGAGGTGCCTGGATTGTCGAAGACAAACTGGACACATTTGCATCAGCTTTCAAATTTCCAATTGAGGGTGTACACACAGCTTGCAATTGGCTTGCAATTGCTGGCAGGAAACAAGTAATCTTTGTCGACTGTCATCATATAATGGATGTGCAAACAGAGCTGATCAAATAGGAGTAATTGGAAGTGTGAGCGATTTGCTCATCGTCTTCACTGGAGTAATTTCCAGTTTGTTTTAAGTCTTGCATGTCCTTATGCCCATGGTACCGTTGTTACTCTCTGTTATCTGTCACTCACATCCTGTTGGTTTCAAGACTTGCCTCTCTTTATTTACACTTCGAACTTCTGGGAAGATTTCCATATTTGTGCATGCCATATGACCTCCTCGAGTAATGAATGTCCAAAGGGGAGAAGATTCTCACACAATGTTGCTCAAAATGATAGTTTTGTGGACGTTGTTATACCATCGAGAATAGACTTTTATGAGTACGTGGCAAGGTGTCCTTCGAGCGCTATTGTCGTGTCTCGAACTCAGCGGCGAATCACATCACGTCAGGACTAGCTTGGAGTTTCGGGGGTTAGCGGTTTTCTCGCAAATGGTAAACCGTACATTTATTGAAGTGCAGAAATCCACATATGACAGAAATTCAACGGATAGTCTTAATATTCGAAAAATTGTAGCCCCGTAGCGCGTAGAAAGAAGAGAGAGTACGCGAAGAATCGTACGACGAGCAGCACTCATTGACAGAAGTTGGTTCCACTTATTCCGTAGAATTGAATCACGTACTATTCCACTATGGTCTGTGGCTTTTTGGGTCGTCACCAAACCATCGAAATTTTTGTAAGCGAAAGGGTACGAAATCGAAGTTTTATCATCTTTTTTTAAATTCAGGGAAGGAGCTGTCTCTTCGCAGAGGATGATGACTCGTTTTTGTCCGGTATGTAACACGTATAGCAATCGAAAGCAAAGTTCATCACAATTCGTATACGGCGCTTGGACGCTTCTTCATCTCCACGGATGTAGAGATACAGGCATGCTCGGACTGAAGGTAGTCACGAATTTACATATCTGATGGCAAGCATACGGCCGATATCAATACACGGGTCATCAAATTGCAAAATCGACTTTAAAGACAATTGTGTAGTAATGCACACAAAACAAGGCTTGATAAGTAACACAAGATGGTACAGCTCGGTGGATTTACTTACACGGTCTGTCCGAAGTTTCGATCGACGTCATAACAACAGTTTGAGAGGTGATTGCAATTTGAAATTTGTAAGATTGACTTCTTGAATTGCTGATCACGTCCACGATCTTGAACTGTCATTTGCAATAACGCAACTAGAGTGTAAACGGCTCGCCATAGGTGCCCTCTGTACTTGGAGACTAATTCGAAACACTATGCTGTCCTCGGATGCTGATACGCACATGCGACATTTCAAACAAAACTTTAGTTCTAGTCTGAATGTTTGATTCGACACTTTCAACCTCATCAAATTCCGCGACACCTATCCTTGTTTGACTTCAACTCCTCGAGAAAGATCGGAAATTGTACAGGGATTAATGTCGTATGACCTGGAAAGGTTCTAGTTCATCCTGCGCTGAACTTAGCAGCAATGGGAACCTTCATGTCTGCCTACTTGCCATGTACGCAACACACTTCTCCGGATTTCTCGTTCGAAAATTCATTACACCGACGTTTCGTGTGTACCGCTTTAATTTGAATTGCGAAGTATCCGTGTATAAACTCATCGATTAACTTTCTTCGCCTTTATAACAGTGCTCATATTCTGTCGAGGTTACACAGAAACCAATCAACACCAAACCTCTTAACCAAAATGTGATTCTTAATTGAAGTGATCTACAAAATTAAGAAAACCAGACAAATTAGCACGTCGATTCTGAACACAGTTGAGTACGAATGAAATAGTGAATATCCAGTCTCAGACACATGTGTACTGCCAAGGTGGGATTGAAATGAAGACATTCGAAAGAGAGCTGGAAAAGGCCCTTTACGTTATAGCAATCAAAATAGAATGACACCGGAAGGCCGCGAGTATAATTGTGAATCTTCTTTGGAGATGCCCCAAGCTACTGTGGATCGGTGCTCCATGCAGCAGCTGAAACCTTGCGACAGAATTTGGGTCGCTGTTCACGGTCGTGGACTCTTTATTGATTGCAAGAACACATGTCGTCGCAGTGACACCTCAAAGATATAAAAAGAATCATAGTTTCATTCTGTTCTTAATTGTCCGGACGCCCCACAGTGTGCTTGTTCTGGCATAGCAGCGACTGAGGGAAAATCACCTGACAATAAACTACTCGGTGCCATTGTACTGCACAGACGATAGAACAATAATCCAAGCTGCAGGATCTGTTGACCTCACTTTATGCGTCAACCACAGTTGCTAAACCCATCTCATCAATGAGGTGGTTTAGGATTTCGTCTGCGAATGTGGGGTATGATCTTTCACTGGGAGCATGTTCGTGCCACCGCTATGAGCTGCTCTGAGCTGCTCCGCTTTCCAGTAAATGAGACTTGAACGAGGCCTTGGGAGAACATACCATGTTCATTTGAACCTCCAGAAAGTGTTGACTTCCCAACTTGGCCACAGTGTAAAGCGCAAGAGGCAGCAACAAAACAGTGCTCGGCGGTGATTTTCGTGTACATCTCACTGATTATGGCCCCAAGTACAGTTCCATGGAATGATGTCCTTTTGTTCCTTTTCATCGCTTTCGAATCATCGCAAATGTGCGTCCTCCTCCTTTTCCGCACGAGGATCAACTATTGCTTTCGTACCTCATCCCCGTCACGTGGACGAAGAGCCGTTTGCAGACGTAGGAAGCTCGCAACCCTCGCCGAGGCCGCGTCATCGGAGGTCCGGTCCACCCACCGAAAGCAGGCTTGCATCAGACCTCGTACGCGGACCTCCCCCTCGCTCGTATGTATATACGCTGTGGCCTCTCGCGCATTCGCACGACCATCGGCCCCGAGCTTCAGCGTTTCGATCGATACCTCCTCCCTCCACTTTCCGGGTGCTCCCAAGTGACACAAGCGAATCACGCGAGCCATCGATAACCATCGAGTCGGAGTCGAATCGGAGTCCGGCCGGTTTCGAATGAAGACGGGTTTGCGGGCGACAACGGACGGGCTCTTTCGGGCATCCTGTATACGGTCCGCAGAGTTCCTGTCCATCGTCGTTTCTCCGCCATGATCCGCACCCCGACTTTCTCGGCAGGCAAATGCACAATGTATTGCGGGTGGCGAGCCTGCATGCGCGGCTCGAGCCGTTTACCCCAGATGACTGCTGCTGCTGCTGCTGCTCCTAATGTCCACGACCATGTTCCCACTGCAAGATTACTCTCCACCACAATTGCCATGGACTGTACATGTTCTGCGTGCCTCATGATCTAATCAAATCATTCTGCAATATTCCGATACCGAGAAGATTAGCATGGTCTTAGTCAAGGATGACGATGCTCAGGAATGCATTTTTATTTTAGAAAATCATCAATTTGATAGCGTTTCACTTGAAATGGAATTTCAGAAAATAGCATTCAACTTTGTGCATCATGTAAAAATACATAGTTTGTGAACCAAAAATTGTGTTACAAAACTTGCAAATTTCTGTAAGATAGGTCAATAAGTAAAACAAATGTACCGATGTTCACCACATTACTGAATTGTGAATCAAACTAATAAGTCAGTTAAAGCATACTATAAATTTCATATGGAATTAGAGCTCAAAGGCTGAAGGCGCTATATACATTGATTGCGACGATAACAAGAGAATGAATATCTTTGCCTATTCGGCTTGAACATTCGACTGTTCATGAGTTGATGAACAGCGCTTGTATCTTAGTGCACGAGGACTTGAGAGAGCATCCTATGTTCATTTCAACTTCCAAAGACTGTTGAATGCTTAGAGACCTTTTCTGTAAGTTAAGAATATGCGTCCTCATGTGGCGTTCTTGTTTTAACCTAAACACTATCAAGAGCGTCAACCCTCTCAAATTGGTTCTTAATGTTCCGGTACCTTGTTGTCCGCCTGGTACATTTTCATGATGAGGGTTTTAAACAGTTTTGACTCTTTCGCGCTAAGGCCAAGCAACTGACAAGATTCAAAGTCATCAATTTGCGTGGTGAAACAGTGACAAGTAAGTTTCAATTGTGCTCATTGCTTACTTGGAGAATGCTGACATGGAGAATTCACCACATCAGCATGTGGTGAACAGCAGGATGCAACAACATGCCTTTGTCGATGTTTTAGAACCTGGCCCCTGATTACACTTTCCTGCCTTGTTATTCCCATCGTTATTATATCCATTAGGCCTTCCTGTATTTTGTCTCCATTACGCTATTTATGTTATTTGTCAGTTATCTTTCTAAGCGTTATCAGGGAGTAGCTATTCTGACGTATTGTTTGTAGAAGCATCATACCTTCTTGTGCATTTACTTTAAATCTCACACACACTGTATCATCTATTACATGACACCAAAGTTGCACTTATTCGACTCGTCCGTTACACGGAGCTTTGAAAGTTGAAGAAGATACCCTCAACGAAGATTGAAGACCACAATAAGTGCTCCGTTCTCTCTGGGTAGTCTGAAAAACCAAAAATTCGATGGATCGAATTTTTCATAGGTATAAGAAAGGGAAGCAGAAGAAAAAGATTTAGCAAGAAGTGAATCTTTGACCGGTTCAATCGAGAAGTACATTGACTCTAAGTAGAATATCCAAACTAAATCTTGACATTCAACATCATATCTCGCTGATAGTTTGTTCTTTCCTCAATCTCCTATTAATCAATTTGATACTCTCCTTGTATTCCCAACTGTCTCATAGTGTTACTGAGTCATTAGCAGAAATGTCCAAGAAAGTAGTTGCATTTTCACAATTGGTGTTCACTGTTACCCAATTCTTTCATGATTATGGATTTCATTACACTATTTCACTTATGCTATGAGTCCCATTAGTCACATGAGTGCAACTAATGAGACTCTCATTAGCCACTTCTTCCCAATTTTAATCACATTTTGATTGAACATAAACCTGGTACCACATGGATGTAATTTAAACAAGAGCCAAAGCACTTAAACTGCACCGAAGAACTCTAGAAACTTGTATTAGATGCTGTATCAAAAGGCTGAAACCTGAAATAGTTGCCAACTTTTATTCACAGAGTTAAGTGTGATTATAAAGAAAAATTTTGAGAAAAATTGAGAGAGACTGATGATAGTTTCTGTTGATTAAGATGTTGAAAAGACCTTGAAAATGAAATAGAGAAAGAATACATAACACATTTCATTTGCTACCTCATCTTTAGTTGATGCAACTCATACATAGCTTCAATCATGAATCTCAAGTAAACATGAGTTTGAGCTCATGTTTGGCTGAGCTTTGATTTTACCTCATTTTTTTTGGAGTGTTTAAAACTTCAAAAAAGTTTTCAACAATAAGTTTTGTGTTGATATGATACTATTTTGCTATTACCCGCGTTGGATTACTTTTAACAATGAGTTCTGGAGAGGAGATAATGGAAATTTGTATTAGGCTAGAGTTATGAAAATTTATATATGGCCATTGACGTGAAAGATACAATTGAAGAGAGTTTGTGTTATGCATCATTCTACTTCAAATAAGCCGTTACTCCACGTAAGTAAGAAAGATGAAAATGATTGAATGAGGTATTAAAATTTTGATCGTTCTTGATTTTCCGTATATGAATGTTTTTTCGCAATGTGGAGAATTTGTATTTTTTTGCACAAATGTAAGACTGTTTTGGCTCATCCCATGGATATGCTCTCCCTCCTAGACCGCTTTTTGTCTTTCGTATAGTATGTTCAAGACTTCAAAGTTCCAATTTGAGGATTGATACATAAATGAACTTCTTACTTCCAATGTTAAGGCAAATTCTACTCAATGTCACATATTAGACAAGTCTCTAACCTCTTCTTGGATTGAATCTCTTCAAACTTAGTTGCTCAAAGTGTGAAGTATCAAAACTTTTTTTTGACTCTTAAAATTTTTTCAATGAAGTTGAGTAATTTAATAGCATCATTGGCAAGCCTTTCTATATAGAGTGTATTCCTTATGTTCCATATTTCAACAAAATAAGGAATATTTTCAAAACAAAATACGGAACATACGGAACTTGGCAGAAATCTGTAATGTTTTCTTCAATAAACTCCGAATTTGACGATAGTGAAATATATCTTCAAGAGAAATAGGAGTTATTTTTGTTCTATGAATGTTTTTTTTCCATTTCAAAACTGAGAAGTCATTTTCCACCGTTGCAGTATTAGGAAATGGACAAGCTAATCCTACTACAAACTCCATAAGTCGAGTAAACCTATTCTTAATATTTGGAGTCTTCCAAGCTTTGCTAAAATCAGATTGCTCGGTCAACCTATTCAAGGCATTCCAAAGACGATGTTAATTTGTTTACAACAATCAAAAGCTCCTTGTGTTCTTCCACTATTTTATCTATGTACTATTGTTCCCGAGAAAGTTTGAGAAGATCTTGATATTTTAGAACTAATTGAAAAACTTCTACCATCTTCAGAGCTACAAGTTCTTGAGGCAAGCAAGATGGCAAAATACTAGAAGCCGTCTGGTTCAACTCATCATGTGTAGCTTCTACCTTGTTCAAATGACAAACTTCTTCCAAAAACTAGGTTGCCAACTGCATGCAACACTTCAATTTTTGACTCTGTGTTGAGCTCTACCAATGATTGGGTAGCGAATAGACCTTGATCTTTGATTAATCCAATCAGATTGGCATGACTAACTTGCCATCTGTCCAAAATAACAATGTCAAACGCAGGTGATGAGTTTAACTCAATCTCAATTCGCTGTACATATGCAAAACGTTGTAAGTTAGCTAGCAGATCTTGGAGAACTGACTTTTGCTATTGCAAAGTGGTTCTTCTTCCTTGTAAATCTTCCACACATTCGCTCACATGTCCTGAAAGCTTGCTTACAACTGCAACCAAAATCCACCAAGATAATGAAGTCGTGTCGCAAACCCTTTGAGAAGCATCACTCTGTTCAAAATAAGCCATGATTTCAAAACCTCTTTTGATCAAAAAACAAGATACACGTGACATAGAGGCCCAACGAGCAGCAGATAAATTTGGACAAATAGCTTGCATTTCATCTATCAAAATTTTTTGACGTCGTTAAACAAAAATCAGTGATGTCGTAATCTTATGAAATTCACAACTAGTGTTTTTATAAATCTTTGGCATCACAATATCAGTATGATGCAACAAACACCATACACGAATCAAATATGATCTAATCAACTTCTAAATACGTGTCACAACTCTAGATAAATGACCTGTCATATTTGTAGCACCATTAGTTGAACACCATATTCTCTTGTTCTTCAATAAGGGACAACCTCCATCAAACAATTTGCAAAACATTTCAAACATAGTCAATCCTGTATGTCTATTAGAAAAAGAAAGTGTGATAAGGTGAAGATTTTCAATAGAAAATTTTTGATAAAATAAAATTTGAACATTAATCCAAGATAATACCTGTAGGTCACAGGAGGCATCAAAGGCCAAAGAAAAGGACCATACGGAATGCAGTTTATGAGTAATATTTTTGATGTGTATGGCACATGCGGTTCTAACATAAGAAGCAATCAAATATTTGCTACAAAATCCAAGTTTAGAAATATCACATACCTCTTGCGGATCCTAAATTGCATAAGCAGCCATTGAGAAAGACATTCATCGTGCAACAAAACAAATTACCAGCTCAAATTGTTTTTTTGGCTAATTTGCATAAAAATATTGCCATCTCCAATTAGTTTAAAAAGTGACATTACAATTGCTAGAGATTGACCATACAAATCATTTTCATTCCAGAGCATGTCTCATATAATCACGTCAACAATTGAACCTCTATTTATATAAGTACTCATGGCAGACTGATTTTCCATGAAATGACAAATTGTTTCAGCATGTTTAATAGAAATAACAAAATAATTGTACTTATACTTTGTCGAAAGTTTGTGATACTCTCTCCACCTCACTTGATGATTGATGCAAAGATGCTGCATGTAGTTGCATGTTCTGTAAGTAGGCTCCTCAAATGTCCAAGATGTAGAGGATTTTTTAGCAGGTTATTCGCGTGCAAAACATACACAGAATCTACAACTAATCGCCACTACTTCAAAAGATCTAGCATCACGACTTGCTATACACAGACCATATTGTAATAGATGTTTTGGCTGAAATGAAGTTTTGCGGGGTCATTTAGAAGCAGGTTCAATGGAATCCATCCAAGTTCAGGCAAGAATAATCCAAAACTGTACTAAGAAAGTACAAACCCGTCTTGCTCTTGAAGAAAGATCGGACTCCACTCTCTCTGTGCCCCGTTTCACACTCTCTCGTTCAATTACGTTTGCATCATCTTGTACATGTGTAATTATCGGATTTCACTCTCTATGTGACCCAAAACTGTACTAAAGAAAGTAACGAAGGTTCAAATCCTCGCTCTGCCTATTACTTTTGCCCCCGTCTTGTTCTTGAAGGCAAGAACAGTCCAAAATTGTACCAAGCAAAGTACAAATCCGTCTTGCTCTTGAAGAATGATCTCACTCCACTTACTACATGCCCGATTTGTCTCTCTCTGTCCTTTACTTTGGCAATGTGGTGTTGTTTGACCTTCACAAACATATGGGTTAGAAACGGATTTTCCGAAGAGTGGGTGAAAAGAAGTGGAGAGGGGGAAGGTTCTCGATGCTAGTAGACAGTGCAGATCAGAAATGGATACTCTGAAACACAGCCTCAATCTTCGATAACTTTTAATCACTATAAACACACTTTTTGGTGATTTAAGGTGTAGTGTGCAAAAGTAACTGTGCGTAAAGACAAGT